CCGCCAAAGAGCACCGGTGGCTGGATACCAGTGACTACCACCGAGAACAAACGCGTGTACATTCTCACGAAACCCGAAAACGGTCTTAAACTTGAAATCAATCCAGAAAAGCATAAAATGTTGCTGGGCTGCAGTTTTCAAGAACTTCTTACTGATGCCCGGAAGATCGTAATTTTGCCTGTCGTGTATCTTACTGGCTTTAAATGAATGCTGTTTTAGGAGGAAGAGAAAAAACTGCGATCTCACAATTTGGATATGGACATCGCCGACATTCAGTCTACCAGCTACACCCCTGTCCCTGTTGCGGCTTACAACAGCACTGAAGGAAAAGAAACGCACCTCTGGGTGAACAAGTATGCCCCTCGGCGTTTCATCGACTTGCTTAGCGATGATGTAATTGAGAGCTTTATTCATAATATGATAATTATTTTTTGTTGCGATCATCACATTGAGCGTCATTATTAACATAGCATCGATTTGTGCTGCCTGTCGCATTCACCGTTTTCAGCTCTTCTGCTCTCGTTGATGGGAGACAATTCCTCTTGACAGACTGCATTCAGACAGACTGCATCTACCTTCTTTATCCTTGTGAGTCCTGGTCGATTTTTGCTTTGTTTTGGTTTGCAGGGCCAACATCCTGTTCTTAATCTCTGCATCTACTTACGACATAAATATTCAGAGAATAACACAGCCATTCTTTATGTGGTGCCGCTATTTACATCTCATTTTATGGCGTAGCGTGGTGTGTTCTCACAGTGTCTACGAGGTGTACTTCGAACTCCGGAAATGTGGGGTTCGATTCCGCTCGAAGGCAATCTCTGTCTTATTCACGAATTCCCTTGAGCAACGATTTTCCATGAGTTACTTCAAACCGAGGTTTCTTAGTCGATAGGGAGTAGGACTCAGAATCAGCAGATCCCAGGTTCAAGCCCCGGTCAGGGTCACTCGCCTTTCTTCCTTCCGAATTTCATAAACAAGTACAACCAAATAAAAAAGGGACTGCTCGCAACTTTTGCCGCATGGTCGAAAACTCTGCCTTTAAAATAAGGCACTCATGGCTAATGGCATAGAAACTGTAATCAGCACCGCGCCATCAACTTCATGAAAAGAAGGGGTCCGAGATGGTCCAATTATGAAAATGAAGGAAGAGTGACATTTTAACGGTGATTAACCTTACTTTCCTTGCAATGTAGCCAACACCGTTCTGTGCTGCGTAACTGTCGTTTGTTTTTTTTTCGGAATCACGACCTATCTCTGGAACCCTTGGATAGTCACATTTGCACTACGGATAATGGATTCTGTTGTTTTGTCATAGTAACCAGTAGGTAGCAAAGTCTGAATAACAAAGGAAACCAGATTATGATGTCTGGTCTTCAGAAATGTCATCGTAGATTAATACTAAAGAACTTTTACGTCCTGTTCTTTGTTTCCATCGGCCCCAGCGATGTGTTTTCATGTTTTATATTGTCTTTCAACAAGTCTACGGCAAGGTGGCGATCCCACCTGAGAAAATTTTTTGAAAAGATTCCCATTCTCTTGTATAGGGTCGGTCTCTGAGTTCATCTAATCGTTTTCTCACGCCACTGGTCGTCAGCACATGCTCGTTTGTGACCTGGTGGCACCATCACCCTTTGAGGATATGGCGCTGGCATCCTGTTGGTAGCTGTCTAGACGAGCTTCAGATATAAATATATCCATATATCATCTTCTTCTAGCAGCCATTACCTTCCTAATTTTACGGAGACAGTTAAGAAATCTGCCGTTTTAAGGCTTGAAGAAATTGTTAGATAAACGCTTTGCGTAAATTTTTTTGATTTCGATCATTCAAGGAATATAAATGGTTATTTTCTTCTTTTCCTGTGTCCTCAGCACAAGTTTTCTGATTTCTGGTTCTTCTCTGATCTGCTATGTAATCCGTGATCCTCCAATCGAATGGTTCTTAATGATATCCAAAGACCGTTGTTGCTATTCCTTTTGTGCCAGTCTGTACTTAGACTGTATTTCTCATAAACTAATTAACCTTTCGTCCTTCTTCACGGTTTGCTGGCTTTTTCTGGTGCCCTTTTAGAGTTTCATGAGGTTTTTCTAATGGTCTTCGACTTCTGCTAATTGGATAGACTCCGTGGGCAGGATTTCAACTCTGCTTAATGTTGGATATGCTGGAGATACTTGGTCATCGGCTAGGTAACTATCTTTTAGCCGTCTGTTGTGTAGTTTTGCAGAGAGTCTCTAGTGCAGATCTTCCTTGGCATCCTCATTACATGCTCAAGCGGTCGCAATTGCGATATGTTTATTTGTGAAAGGATCAGTCTGACTTACCTTGTTCTGATGCTTGCCCAACCATTTTACATATCAGGCTTTCGATGTCGCGTGCATCCGGGGTCGCACTCTTCCGATTAATAGCCGGCACTCGTAACCACAAGTGAGGCTACATTGCTGAATAGACCATATATGGATGGAATGTTTGTAGACAGATGGATTTCTGTTGTCATCTGTGCGAATCAAC